CACGCGCACGCGCACGCGCACACACGCACACACGCACACACGCACACACGCACACACGTACACACGTACGCACATACATACATACACACGCACACACACACACGATTCGGCTTACCCCTCATACGCTTCGTGGCCCCATAGGAAGTTCCACCGAAGGCCCCAGTGGCAGAGTCCGCATGGCGTACCTGCGTCCGCATGGCGTACCTGCACCTACGCCTCTCACGTTTCGTGTCCCCGAGTTTTGGGCTCCACTGCAACTGCAGATGGTTGGGTTCTTCGCCAGGCTAAATGGTCTTTGTTCGTGTTGAACGCAAGCTAATGTTGGATGGGTTATCGGCAGCAGTGTTCGCAGGTTAGCAAATCAGAGTCGGTCTCAAGAGTTGCAACGTGCATGTATATTTCTAGATCGATTTTGCGAGGGGAGCGCAAGACTCCACTCCAGAGGTGGGTCTGTGTGATGTTTATGCTGCTGTGACTTTCGGGGGCTCGGATCTTTGGCCCGTGACACGTTCGTCCACTACCTCAGGTGTATTGCTTTTATGGAGCACAGTGATTCCTCCATTCAGGCTGTGTTTAGATGATGACCTTCATCCCGAGGGTGTAGAACGTCTTCTGGTCGCCGTCACTTTTTGAATGTGCTTCGAACGCTCCCGTAAGTGTCCTTTGTCTCCCCAGTCGATGATTGACTGTCAGTTGTACACAGCCAGGAAATCCGCCCAGACTTTGGCTGACGCGTTCTAGCACACGGTGGGAAAGTGGGTGTGCCTCCGGTGACCCCCGATACCGCCACCAGGCCACCAAGAGGCCTCCCAGAAACTTCAGGAGGCCTTCAAGAGACCCAAATCATTGCCCAAGATGCCCCCAATAGACATCCGAGAGGCTCAGAAGGAAGAGGGGGCCGCGGACCCAGGAGCCTTGCGCAGCGGGAAAGCGGGCAGATAGTGTTTTCCACGTGTGCTCTTATTTGCCTATCTCCCATTTGTTGTTTTCCCCATCTCGATTTTCCCTCTCCTCCCCCGTCCCCCATGTTTTCTTTCCCGTATCCGCGATGTTGTTCGATCGTTCTTTCTTCATTCGGTCTTCCATTACTTCATCGAGCTCCTCCCTCCAACTTCGCGGAGGTACGCGGGAAGCCCCAGAGAATCCGGGCATCTGGGGTCTGTGCCCTTGATTATTCAATCATCAGGATTGTGGACAGAGAGTTCAAGGGACCTGAGGCCACTCCAGCTCGTGCCTCAGGGCACGGTGCATCCTTGTAAGCCGATCTGGGTAAAATGTGAATCCAATGATTGGCCAGACCCCCCAAACCTCCGTATCAGCCGAAGCGTGGTCTTGGCGGTACGTTTATGAGTCGCATCAGGGGCAGGATGACGGGGAATAATGCAGGGAGGGAGGAAGCGGGGGATCACGAGGCAGGCTGGGGTGGATGGGTACGTCGGTGATGATGCTGCCAATCGGATGACGATGTTGATAGCGATGACGTCGCCGATGCTGGAGATGTTGATGGTTGTGGCGATGGGGGATGCTGACAATGGTGACGATTAGGACGTTGATGATGCAGATGCTGAGGATCACGAATGATGCTGAATGCGAGGAGGGTTGACGAGGAGGACATCGAGTATGCTGAATCTAGTAATGGTGGTGGTGGTGGGGGGGAGGAGGAGGAGGAGGAGGAGGAGGAGGAGGAGGAGGAGGAGGAGGAGGAGGAGGAGGAGGAAGACGAGGTTAACGACGAGGAGGGGTGTTTGTCAGTTCAAGAGGCTTACGCCATTCCGCCGACCCCCAGAAGAGGTACAGAGTCAAGTGTTCGCCACTGAGTTGAGTCTCACTAAAGCTTTTTTGTTGGCGTACCAGTGGCTTTCGGCCCATCCCGCCACCGTGCCTGGCTGTGGGTCAGAGGCTTCTTGGAGGCGCTTCTGAGGCCTCGTGGGGACCGCTTGGGCTTCTCTTGGGGACCTTGTGGGGACCTCTTGGGGCTTCTTCGTTGTCTCCTGGGCGCCTGCTGGCGGTCTTCGGGTCTCCTCTTGGGGCCGAGGGCTCGAACTGTCACTTCGACTTTTCCTCGTGGTCTCCTCTTGGAGCCTTCTCGGGGCCATCTTGAGCCGTCTTGGGCGCCCCTTGGGCCGTTGTGGGACTCCCTTGAGCCGTCTGGGATCACTCTTGCGGGCCTCTTGGGCCGTCGTGGTGCGATCTTCGGGGTCTCGCGGGCTCTTTCAGACGCTGTTGAAACCAAGAAGGCGGGTATGCTAAACTTAAGCGCAGATGTTGGCCTCTCGGGGCCCTCTTGGCGGTCCTCTTGGGGCTCTCTTGGGGCGTTTTGGAGGCTTGTGGGCCGTCTTGAAACCAGTCTTGTTTTTGATGGCGTCTCGGCGTGTTGGAGCTCAGCTTGTGCAAGCTGTGATAGAATATTGGGCATCTTAGAGGCCACGGAGTGTAGATATGGAGGCTACAGAGGCCCCAGGGGGTGCGTTCGGGAGACCAGAGACCCCCCCCCAGGATCACCTCGGGCCCACCCCCTCTAATCTGAGTTTGGACCCTGGGGGAGGGGAACGGGTGAGGGGGACGACCGAATGTCTCACACGCCTTGTCATCCCCGGCAAGCGGGGATCGGCGGATTCACCATGGCCCCCTCTGCAGGAGGGCGACCCAGCCTGGGCGTGGCTGCTGGTGAACGGGCTGGCGAGCCTTGTCGTCCTGGCCGGGCGCAGGATTAGCAGGATGATCAGAAGCGGGCTGCTGCTGCTGACGAGCAAGGAGGAGGATGCTGATGATGATGTCGATTTTTCGGGTGATGGTAAGGATGGTGATGAGGTAATTGTGGATGAGGATGACGAGGATGTGGATGATGAGGATGCTGATGTTGATGATGGCGGTGTTGTTGACAACAATGACAGCGAGGATTGCATTTGTGTTTGCGATGATGGCGAGGTTGATGAGGATGAGGAGGATGACGAGGATGCGGATGATGAGGATGCTGATGTTGATGATGGCGGTGGTGATGACAACGATGACGGCGAGGATTGCATTTGTGTTTGTGATGACGGCGAGGTTGATGAGGATGAGGAGGAGGAGGACAATGAGAGTGTGACGGTGTATATGAGATGTGCGTGAGCATGTACATGCACGGCAATACCCATTTGCATATGTATGTATGCATGGGATGTAATGTAATGTAATGCAGTGGAATGGAATGGAATGGAATGGAATGTAATGTAATGGAATGGAATGGAATGGAATGGAATGTAATGGAATGTAATGTAATGCAATGTAGTGTACTGTATGTATGTGTGTATATGTATGTATGTATGTATGTATGTATGTATGTATGGATGTATGGATGTATGTATGTATGTATGTACGTACATGTATGTATGTATGTATGTATGTAGGTAGGTAGGTAGGTAGGTAGGTAGGTAGGTAGGTACGTATGTATGTATGTATGTATGTATGTATGCATGTATGTGTGTGTATGTAGGTATGTATGTATGTATGTATGTATGTATGTATGTGTGTGTGTATGTATGTATGTATGTATGTATGTATGTATGTATGTATGTATGTATGTATGTATGTATGTATGAAAGAGCGGGTTCTGTGGTCGCTTGGAGGAGGGGGGGGGGTGGAACCGGACCCCCCCTCCCTGGATGGGGGGGGGGTCGAACCCCCCCCCCTTCCCCTACTCCTCCTCTCTCCCTCTCCTCTGGCCGGCGCCGGCGTCGGCGGCGGCTGGCGGCGGCGGTGGGGGTGCTGGTGGTGGTGGTAGTCGCGGTGGTGGTGGTGGTGAGGTGGTTTGTGGTGGTTGTGGTGGTGGTGGTGGGTTGTGCTGTAGTGGTGGTGGTTGTGGCGGTGGTGGTGGTGGTGTGTGGTAGATGGTGTTGATGGTAGTGGTAGTGGTGGTGGGTTGTTGTATTGGTGTTCGTGGTGTTGGTGGTGGTGTGAAGCTGTTGTGGTGGTGGTGTGGCTGTGGTGGTGGTGGTTGTGAAGTGTTTGGTGGTGGTGGTGTGGTGGTGGGTTGAGGTGGTGATGATGGTGGGCGTGGTGGTGGCGGTGGTGGTGGTGGTGGCGTGGTGGTTTGTGGTGGTGGTGGTGGTGGGCTGTGGAGTGGGTGGTGGTGGTGCTGCTGCTGCTGGTAGTGGTGCTGGTTGTGGTGGTGGGTGGTGGGTGGTG